ACCAAAACAAAAGAGATAACGCGCAAAAGTACGAAAACACTATACAATAACAAAAACACACAAAACATGATAAAATGGACCGGTCGACACTAAAACGAGCCTAAAAACTATAAAATAAAGAACACAAAACACACGAAAATAACGACAAAAACACAATAAACACTCTCTCCCTTCAAACTCTCGTATCTCTCTACTCTCTCCCTCAATCAGCTTCTTCACCTCCCTCTTCCATCATCTCTTATTTACCAGAAAAGTCCATAAATAAAATAACAAAAAAGTAAGATCAGAACATTTGGTATCACGAGCGGACGATCCTCGGATGATGGCGAACGAACTTCTTCTCGATCAGATAGAGCTGCAACAAAAACATTTGGATAAAAAAATGCAGCTGCAAATTCTGAAAAAGGAGGCCAGTTATTCAAATTTTCAGCAACAAATGGATGGTATGAAACTTAATCTCCAACAGCAAACACAGGGAATAGATCGGAAATTTGATTGATGCTGTGAGTTACTTGAATCCATACAATATCTCATTAACAATATACAACACAAAAGGCAGGCAAAATCAGCACCTCAATTCCAACATTTTCCATACCACCATTCCCAGGCCTCACTACCCCTGATTCTATCAATCCAGAACCCCATCACCATCAAATTTCTCCAGAAAATCACAAACAAAATTTCTCACATGTGTCCTTAGCCAAATCTGAAGCCTACAGTACTTCCGGGTATGAACTTAAAATCGCCAGTCAAAAATCCCAACCAATTCTTCATTAAATTCAGGAAAAGAATTCACAGCCAAAATCAAGTGAAAAACAACAAGGTAACCCAACACCACAAAACACCACAATTCATACCCCAAACAATCTAGAATCCTTCTCCACTTTTCAAAAAATATCAAAAGAAAGGTACTTACCGATGCAAACACTACCACCAATCGAAGTGTTCGACCTGCCTGGAGATGGTGAAAATGAACTGGTGAAGGAACACATCGGTGAATTAATTGAATCCCCACAACCCCTTGAGCAGTTCTTCGAACTAGGGCCAAGTTCAACGGATTTAGAGTCTGAAGATCCATTTTGCCTGGGACTGTTCCACGAGGAAAGGAAAACGTTGAGAAGGCCGTGCTTCGTGGTAGACCGGGGAAGAACACACAGTAAGGGCGGTCTAAAGAGAACGAGCACGAGGCTCCGCGGCGGCCTTGAAGAGGCTTGGTCTCGACGGCTTCCGAAACGTGCTGCCGCCTCCGTCATGAAAATCTCAGCACCGAGGAAGCGCAGATCAGCCATTCACCCTATTTACTTCAAGATGACTCTGCGACCGATTTATTCTGGCCGTGGAGGTCACGAGGTTGATTCTCCTTCTGGTTACCCATCAGCTGAAATGGAATTAGGGGCGAGGGGTCGCGATTCTGACATCGGGATTCGATCTGGAGGGAGATTAAATTGTCGGCGATCTTCGAGGTGCGCCCGTGTTTCAGTGGCGGCGATGACAAGGAGGCGCGGGAGAGGAATCCTAGCGAGGAGGCACTCATGTTCTTCCCTCGTCGGAGTGACGGCGACGATGAACGGACAAAGCGGGAGGGCTCGCTGTCGAAGCGGCCGGCCCCTCTGTGGTGAGAATCAGCGCGACAACGACTGCCGATTGAAGCCCCATATTTGTCAAATACCTAAGCACAGCGGTCGGTCAGAGGCTTGGTCCTGCCGGATCGATAAAGTGCAACGGTTGTCAGCCATGGATTTGGGTTTGATGAAGCTAGGGCGAGGAAATAAAAGGAATAATTCAGAAACCATAAAATGGAATAGAAGAGATATGAAGAGGATATTGGGCGACTTGGCGGAGTGCCGGCATCGGATTCCAGCAACATATGCATTGGAATTTCAGAAGAAGATAGAGATTGAAGCGGCGATGACGATTCTAAAGAAGAGAAAGGGGCACAGGCACGCATTGGGCTATAGTCAATTTGTTGAAAATTGGGTTGATATATCCAAATTAAAAAAATTGGACCCAATGCCAACTCGCACGCCTTTCCAATTACTGACCGGATCAATATCTACTTCAATTTTCTTGGGCCATTTAAGATGAGCTTTGGGCATAAACAATTTGGAGAAGGTTCTTTAAGAGTTTTTATAATTTGGGTCGTACAAACTCTTCTCAAGCGCTCCACGGAGTGCCGAGCTCTTTGGATGCAGTGCGTACATTTTCTACATATAAGTCTCGGGGACGAGACTCTTCCGAGAGGGGAGTATTGTCATGTACCCGACTATGGAGTGAGCCGATTTTATAGTCTAGATAATTTATGTTTTGGTACTGGGTCTTTTGTGTTGGACTCATTTTATTATGTTTAGGTTTGGGCCTATATATATATATATATATATATATATATTAAATAGCCCATTATTGAATTAAGAGGTTAGTTTTGTGAGTGGTATGTGGATGAGTATAAAAGGCATGTAGGAAAAGTGATTTTCATTATGGAATAAATTAACAAATTTCCTTATCTCTCTCTTGTTTCTCTCTCCTCCCAAACTCTCTCTCTCCCTTCAAACTCTCGTATCTCTCTACTCTCTCCCTCAATCAGCTTCTTCACCTCCCTCTTCCATCATCTCTTATTTACAGAAAAGTCCATAAATAAAATGTTCTGATAACCCCGAAATTGGTGGGATCTCAACAGTATCTCGAGACTTGGAGGAGAGATAGCCTACTTCGTATAAATAGAACCTTAATAATAATAGGTATGATAACCCCCAATCACATGATATTGCATAGCTGCAATGAGATAACTAAATTAAGAGTCTGAGGACATATGCTGAAGCCCTCTGATAGGGTTCGAAGGTGGGTAGAAATGAAAAGTTATGTTTACATGGAGCAGAGCGCATCAAACTGAACAAATAGTAACCAACAAAGTTATATTTCAATTTTCACGTGTAAGCTACAGTCCCGTTACGGAATCATTCTGTTGGGATTTGTAACCGTTAGATATACATCTAACTTAGTTATTATGTGCATTTAACCATTATAAATCTCAACGGAATAATTCTATTGTAGCATTTTCCTATATTGTATATATAAGGGCCAATTGGAAATCCATTCTGCTCCATTGACATTTTCAAATACAACTTTTTTTTTTGGTACAAAGAAGGAGGCAAAAGCTTAGGTGGTGATTGTTTACAAAATAATTTACTCACTTTTATTAACTCAAAATCTAACTCAACTTTAACTCAACCCACTATCTTTAATATTATTAATATAATTACATAATACAAACCAATCATTCTTACACATCACGTCAACTTTAATTCACTATTCATCCACTCACATAATTTTAACTACCTATCATTTCCAATCATTTCTAATCATTTATCTCTTACTTTTACATCAAATCAATTTTAATTATTTTATTTTAAATATTATTTTAATACATTCTTAAAATTTCACTACAACTAACCATACCACCTTTTTCAAAATTAACTATAGTTACCCAAAATAACTCAATTTGAACAAATTATTTCATAAACAATCAATCCCTTAGGATCCTTTATTATACGCCGCGAGTAAACAACGCCAATAAGATCATGTTGTAATCACGGTCTAACCATAGAAGGAGGGTCTAATAAACTGACAATCAATTATTATTACTTCACATACAATTTCTTTCGAAAAATTACAATTCTTTCGCTCACATACTTCCAATCATATATTTGTTACTATCAATTATTTATTTCACAATTTAACTGTCAATATTTCACATATTTAATTTAACATGGAATTGATTAAAATGGAAACCATCAGTTTAGATCAATCATTATTTCATTTCACTGGCGAAAACAAGCTTAAAAACGGTACCCAAAAAAAAAAAAAAAACTTTTAAAAAAAACAACTAAAATTTATTGTCCCACACACAACCGTGCTTCAACATCAACCAAACAAACAAAACAAAAACCGCTAAAACAGTCTAAACCATCCAGACTGAACCGAAGACTGATAATGAACCATAACAAGCACCAAGAGCAGAACCAGCAAAAGCCCCACCACCGACCCTCCATCCTCCGCCACCGCCTCAGCCGCTACCGGCGGCACTCCAAGGACGTACCTGGCCACCCTGCGCCGGAGAGCCACCACGTTCACGGCCAGAACCACCGCCATCGGCAGCAGGATGAGCCCGAACCTGAGGTCGGACCTCCTCCGCTCCACCCTCTCGTGATGGCCCGAGCTGTAGGCGAGGTACAATAAGGCGATTACGAGGCCCGAAAACGCCACTAGAGGTAGTGGTGGTGGGGATATGGTGTTTAGGGTTTGGTCTTTCCAGCTTATGCCCCGTTTCTCACTAACAAACCAATCCGCCATTTCTCTTCTTCTTCTTCTTCTTCGTTCTTCTGGTTTTCTTTTTTAGTTAAAGCTTGGAGGTTTTTGGTAGTTTTTATGGAGTTCTTGAAAGTGATGCTATGAGAATGTTTTTGTGGGGGCGATTGGAATTTTATCTTTTGGTTCTAACCGACTTTGATTTTTTGGACCTATGTGACATCACGCTTTAAGGGATTGATACTATACTAAAGTGGGCTTTATTTTATTTTTCCTTTAATTCATTTTTTTAATCTTCGTATAGAAGATTATTATAATTCACACACGCTCGCATCTCTTTTACTTGCGATAGATCAATATAGTATTCAATTATTATAGTAATCAATTTGTTAAATTATATATCCAGAAATAACATGATAAGTCACTGGCCAAAAAAAAAAAATC